GCTAAGTTTCGTCGGAACGAATTAATTAACTTTCCGTAACTCCAGAAAACATAATTGGCTTTATTTAAGCCAACATTTCGCCATTTCATCGGGACAAACAAGACACTTGCTAACTTATTTAGGCTTACAAAATATTTCAAATTAATACGAGTCTGTGCAGTTAGGTGGACTTCGCCCGAGAACATATAAACAAATTGAAAGTACATGCAAACGGACAAGATTACACTATCTAAAGCAGACATATGTTATCACACTAATTAAATATAAGCAGGAAGAATTACAAATTCCAGGGTGATTTTTTGTTTATTTGTGGTTTATACTCTGAAATTAGTAGAGCTTCTTTGTATTTTCTATCTAAAAAGCTGTGGCAATAAGTAAGAATGTTTGTTGTTATGGGACAATCGATATCAATTATACCGTGTTTGGCAACAAAATGTTCAGCCACATCACTGGCTTTACTGTCTAATGTGTGTAGAGTTCGAATGTCTTCATTAATTATATCCATAATAACTCTGACTATTCCACCGATGTATACATAGCCACAAAGTCTGCATGTAAAACTGTATACTACATTCTTGTGGTTACAGTTGCCTCTTAAACTTGATTTACAACCCGCACATTTAGTTGCGGGTTTATTAAATGTTTTGGGATTAAAGGTTGATCTGACTAACATATTTTTTAAGGTGCTACCTGATTTCTCTGTAACTCTGATGTCAAGACCTGATTGTCTGCACGCCTGTTACAAGCTGATATCTTAGGATTAATATATGGTATAGCGAAATTCCTGTGAAATTGCTTTTTTTCACGTGGTATTGTTTCTGTATTGTTACTGTGAACTCTGTTTTCAGCTTCGTAAAGTCTTATCAAAAATGTTTGTGAATATCTATTAATATTTAATTTAAGTACAAGTTATTGTATAGCTTTATAGTTACCTTCATTAGTTGTACAAGTCTTATTGATACGGTTTAGTTGTCCAATAATAGTCGCATGTTTAACGTGTAATGAGAGATGAGTGGTAATAAAACTACTGGTTTCTCATAAGACTTATGTTACATTTCTGTGACAAATTGGCCATCTTTTAGGATAACCTGAACATGAAAGAACGACAATATGTTTGATACTTAAAAAGTATGTCATTGGGCCGTCATAATGTGGTGGTCAATCCCACCATTCATTGGCAAAGTGTAGCTCAAGAGTTGACGGTAGGTGCTGCCGACCGGTTACCTCCCCTTTAGTTGGCAGTTCAAAATTAGGGACAGTACTAGTCCCTGTCTACAATTTTTAGAGTTCATTTCATATAATTTTTCTAGATTTTTAGGACCTGTACGAACCCTGTAAAGTAGTTAGAGTAATACTAACAAATGCATAACGTTTTCTTTATTGGTCATTTTTTTATGTTTTGTTTTCATTATAAGCTTCTTTTAAGTTGTATACGCCAACCTTTCTCAATTTGTGGTTCGCGAGCTCCCTTCAAGCGGTTCGAGGAAAGTATGTATGAATATTGAAAGGAAGCGGCAGCGTAATGTACAGATCTCATTGTAGTCCGATATAATAATAATAAAAGATCTACGTAGTCTTCTAAGAAAAATGCTTGAGTACTACTGCTCTGCAACTGTAGAAAGCAATGTGAACATGCTCGAAATCTGCATTAATATTAAGAGGTCGAGACTTTATGAACTGAATAACGAGCATATTCAATTTACAATCGGGAGACAAACGTATATTTACAATATTTCGAGCACGTACTTTTCCTTTTTTTATTAGTTGTGTACTTTGCCAAACCTTATCTGTTTTGCGCACTAAAACTCGAACTGTGAGTTAGGGTGAGCGAGACTGCATTACGGATTACGTGGTCGACATTTGAAAACTCATTATTTAATATTCTTAACCCGTATTTTAATTTACTGTATATTTATAATTTTCTACCATAAACAGAATGGTGCTTTCCAGCCATGAAGTAACATGCCCGGGATTCCCCCTGTAGTCTGATAAGTGTATTATTCACAGAATAGGAAAGGAAGCGATAACGATATAAAACACTAGTTCTCCAACCAGCATTGCAAATGTTACATTATGAACTTACGTTTTAACACTCACATGTTGTTGATCTTGGGTTTTCCCTCGTTGGTAAACACCCCATGATCTCACATTAAAATAAATAAATAAATATATATAAGCTTATTTTGTGGGGTGAAGGAACACTTCTGACTAGTTTCGAACTAATAGCTGGAGATAAAGATTAATAGGTAAGATTTTTTTTTTCATTTAATGTTAAACACCTTTTTTTTTTTTTAAACAAACACATCATTACATCGCTTGCCCACTGTTAGAACTTACTGTATCCCTGAAGTGAGCATGTTTTTTTTGTTTTTTAAAATTAGCATTAGATATTGAAATCAAAATATAGGCATAGTGACTAAACATGATATTATAGTATCTTGTTATCACCAGTTTATTTTCCGTTACATGAAACGTGATACTGATGTTCATCTAGACGTATGATAGAACAGGAAGATGCTATATGCCTATTTCCTCATTAGTTAAGATATACATTTTATTTTCAAAATTAGTGTTTTTTTTAGGCTTCTCAGCTTGGACGCATAATCGTTCAATTATCTCTTTAACTTTCTCTGTTTTGTGAGCAGCCAAGACGTGAGTTTGTTAATTGACAACTTGTAGGGACGGTAGCACATGACGTACAGGAATAAAAGGCTATCGTTCCTGTTGGAGAAACGGCTAAGCCCAAGAGCTCAATTCTTAGTGAACACAAATCTTGGATATGGGGTGCATTTTGTGTGCAAGTCCTACTTTTTAGTGCTTTTTATTGCATATAATACCAGGTTTGCTCCCGTGAGAGATAGATATATAACTTTTAAGAAATGTCAGATTTGCCCATATCGACTAACGCTAATCACGTGACTGATCATTCTCATTCAAACATGTTGTTGCGTCAGCGAGGTCACGTGACTAGTGTCACGCCACTCCTTCTCTCGAACCTTCGTGAATGCCCTAGCATTTACTAGATTGGGGGTAGCCTGGTATATAGAAGATGGTGACAACGTGACGGAACAGTATGTGTAGGTAGTGAGTAATTGATCTGCAGTCAGAGAGTATTGTTGAAGTTAACGTTCGTTATAGTGTTTGTTTTAGCGCGAATGTTGAAATTAAGTGTATCGTAAAGTTATATTCAGAAAGAATAAACCAGTTTTATTAAGTAAGGACTTCTGTCGCTAAAGTTTCGTCGGAACGAAGTTACGGAAAATCAACTAACAAACGGAGACGTAACAATATGGAAGGTCGTAACCTCGATATACTATCAAATTTACCATTGGAGAACACTGTTTTCAGATTTTAAAAATAATATATATACATATGTATAAGTTCTTCTTTTTGCCAATTGACGGAATAAATGGCTTTTACTTATATTTCTTAATAGTTTAAATATATAGTGTGTTGTTGTTGGGCTTAGGATTCTTCTACAGAAGGTGTCTGTGACTATTAGCGATAAATTCAACAATGAATAAACAGCACACACTTTACTTGTTTTCAAATAATATATTTATATTCGGAACAACTTAAACGTATGTACAATAAAATCTTCACATTATAGAGATAACAAGCATATCATAAACATTATTTATATATGGTTCTATTCTTGTCAAAAGTCCAGTTAGGCCTATTCACTTACTTTAGAATTTCAGTTGACAAGTCGGACTATCTTCTCTATATTATTGTTACGTCTCCGTTTGCATTTATTTTTTACTCCAAACCGATACATCCTAATATTAGTCATTCATTGAATGGTAAATATTTCCATATTTAATTAATAACAATCTATTAGCATGGAAAGTGTTCCGTTTTATAGCAATATTATCAAACAATATTTTAAATAGGTGAAAGAAATTTATTTTGGTAAGTTTTTATTGCCTCACAGTGGCACAGCGGTATGTCTGCGGACTTACAACGCTAGAATCCGGGTTTCGATACCCGTGGTGGGCAGAACACAGATAGCCCACTGTGTAGCTTTGTGCTTAATTACAAAACAAACAAACAAAGTTTTTATTTCCCCACAAGGACAAATTTGCATTTTAAGAAATTTATATCACATGACAAAAGGTTCGTGACCAAACAACGGGCTGAAGATACCGTTATGTATGCTCATCACACTGGCAGCAACAACAATCGTACTAAAAGTTAATCATAAATACTAAGTTGTCATAACGACATCGAGAGAAAAAACGAGTTTAAAGTTTAAATACACGACCGGAAACGGCCTTGCAGTATTTAACATGTCTCAGCATTTAGTAGTATAGCAAAATATGTATGAAATCAATCTGGCGTACGATTCCACAAGGAACAGAGTGCAGATAGCCCATCGTGTAGCTTTGCGCTACAACAGTACGATCAGCTTTTTATATTAGAATATATAAAACGTAGTCCTTATCTAGTGCGCAATTGTGTGTTAAAAGAAATATTTCAATGACAAGTTCCACTATATTTAGAAAATATTAAATAAAAGAGGTTTTTAACCTTCGTAAGCTAGCGTATGTTAAGTGTCTTGATACACGTACAAATATTGCGTTATTATTATTCCCGTTTTACAGGATACAACCAGTACGGAAACTACAATTTTTAATACTCGTGAGTTCTAGTTTGTGACTTGTGTATATAATTACCGATGATAAAAGTTGAGTCATAATGAAAATCTATTTCATAATAATAAGTAATCATTTGTATAGCAGGAATTAAAAAAATACCGCTATTGAAGTTACGCTGTACAAGGAAATATTTTATAATCTTTTGTCACTTCAATATTGTAGCGTCCGAATTTAATTCATTGTGCATTTTCAAAAATAAAACAGTTATTATATTTGATTTTATGCTTACCCGTATGTTTCTTTTTAAATTATAAATGTAATAAATCATGCCTACCTTATTTCTTTTAATTTATATATACAGTCCTGAATGATTGTGGCGGGTTGTGTTCTAGAGGTAGCGTGTCTGGACTGTGAACCCGAAGGTTTAGGGTTCACTGCCCGTTACCGTATAAATGCTTTCCATCCTTTGCAGCCGAGAGTCACATCTCATCATTTGTTCAGTCAGACAAGAGATGTTGACTAATGATTTTTATTATTTGTCCGACAGTTCATAATTAAGGACGATGTTTTTCACACAGTTCCCTCCATATTTCTGTTAGCCATTTTCTTACAGTTTAGTCTGGATGCAGAGATTCACTCAAGTAAACCTATAAATGTTCCCTTTCTCAGATGGACATGAGACTTAAATTCATTAACTGGTAATCTGCCGTGTTTTCTTACAGAAAATACAGCTCGTGACTTGTGGAATAGATTGCTGTCTTTTTTTTTTTTGTGGCGAATCGGATAATAACTAGGGGCCGTCACGAACTTGGATCACAGTGAATGAATGTGACGTGTACAAGTTGGACTTGTATGCAAACCTGGTTTTGTTTGTATTTTTGTGTTTTGTATATAAAGCCAGATTTGTCCCTGTAAGAATAACTTTTGACCGTACCTTTCAGTTTGTAAATTTTGCTAACTTTAACTTTTGTAGACTTAGTGTCGGATAACTTTTGTTAGACGTGGTTTAACTTTTGTTAACTTATAGGTTTGTTTTACTTTGCATTTAACTTTAAACTCACTATGGCGTTTTTATTGTATTTGTTTATGAATTTATTTGTAATAAAGATTGTCATTTGTATTCATATTTACTAACTTTATCTTTGCGACGAACTCACTCGGACTTCGGAGAAAAACACAGTGACTTCATTAACGTACCCTAACATGCATCGCAAAATACCACAGTTTGTACTTATGTTTTCTTCGTTCTTTTATCCAGTTTAATACTTTTCATTTTTAAAATTTCTATATATATAATTTTTTGAAGTTGTTACTACCAGTTAATATAAAGTGTTAATTTCACCTTTTTTTGCGTAAATAATATCATACAAGTTGTCCAAATAGGCGCTTAAATCAGTGAAGTTTTTTCAATAAACGGCGACACCTAGTGGGTAGAAATGCAATGCATGTTAAATTTGTTTATGCATCATTTTAATGGTACTTATTGTAGTGCACCAAAAGATTAATCCACCAGTTTTATTACAGTATTGTTTGTGATTAGTTAAATTATTTTACACATCCTTGTAGTTATATTAAAAGTTCAGTTCAGTTCTATAAATGTTACCAAATGTAAACAATAATCAAAATACTGAATTGCACATATTAAGAGTGTTGCGTCAGCGAGGTCACGTGACTAGTATCACGCCACGTCCTTCTCGAACCTTCATGAATTATCGGGAGACTACTTGATTGGGGGTAGCTGGTATATATAAGACCGGCCACGAAGCGACGCGGGGGCAATGAGTAATTGAATGTATGCGGACAGAATATTGTTGGCCACGTGAGACGTGAATTATAGCGTTGTTATAGAGCGGCTGTTGAAATTAAGTGTATCGGTAAAGTTGTATTCGGAAAGAATAAACCAGTTTTATTTAAGAAAGGACTTGTGTCGCTAAAGTTTCGTTGGAACGAATTTACGGAAAATTAATTAACGAACGAACGGAGACGTAACATATTGGTGTCAGAGAGTGGGATAAAAAAATGGAGACGAGAAGCGGCAAATCAAACTACAGCTTAGCAGATTTGATGGCAGCAATACAAGAACAGCAAAAGAAACAAGAAGAACGAGAAGAGAAATTACAGCAGTGGTTGGAGGAAAAAGAAAAGAAACAAGAAGAAAGATTACAGCAGTGGCAAGAGAACCTGCAACAGTGGCAGCTCGAACAACAAAATAAACAAGAAGAGAAATTACAGCAGTTGTTAGAGGAAAAAGAAAATAAACAAGAAGAACGAGAAAAGAAACAAGAAGAGAGACTACAGCAGTGGCAACTGGAACAAGAAAGGAAACAAGAAGTACAAACGGAAAACATTAGTAAATTTAAAAGCGAATTAGATACATTAAAGGATGATTTATTGTCTTTTACACAAGGAGGATACATTAACCATCGACTTAATCAGCCCCAGACAATGACAAGCCCCTTCCAGACCCTGCAGCTAAACCCTAATGCAGACATCTTCAGTCCTGTTAGAAGTCACATCCCAGATATGAATGTCAATAATAGGAGTGATTCAGTAAGAAAGAAGCCACAGGAATACGATGGGAAAGCACTGGGAAGCATATAGAACACAGTTTGAGCTACTGGCAGAGATGAACGGATGGACCACTGGAA